GAAAAGTGCTGATCATCTTGAGGGGGTAAACTGATTTCGGTTTTTTGGGTGAAAATTTTTTGAAAATTGAAAGAGGCACAGCAAATATTGCTACGAAAATATTGTGTGTGTGGGTTGACTTAAAACAAACAGTAGACTCACTAACTCTGTTTGTAGATGTGTTTTGGAAAGTGTTTGGTTTGGCAAGTATGATAGTAATAATATAGATGCTTTTTATGATATAATAAGGATAAGGTGAGGTGCAAGAGAACTGAAGAAAAGAAAACTGTCACGGGTCTTTTCTCATGCAACCAAAGGATAAGCAAGACTCTCAAACTTGAATAGACTTCGACCAGAGGTCCCATCCTACTGCACCAGTTGTCTTGAAGGTTCTTGAATTCCTGAGCTGGGGCTCACTTGTGATAAAAAGTGTAGAACATTTTTTCATGCTTAAAATTATCATAAAAGGAAAATTTTTAACAAAACGAATACGATCAGGAGAGAGTTTTTAAAATTATTAAAGTTGTTATAATTTATGATTATTGATTATATATTAATAAAAAAAGATATAAGAACAAACTTTAGTTTGAAAAGTATTTCTTTCATTATAATAAATTCAGAAAGTTTATTAAAGATAAAAATATTGTAAAGTTTTAAAATATTAATAAAAAAAAATCATTATTATACATTTGATAGAAATTTATAAATCTTTAATATAATTAATACAATTATTTGATACAATTAATTAAGTCATTATTAAACTATATAAATAATTAAGTCATGATGCAATTATTTTTAAGAATTTTGAAAATTGAGTTAACAGTAAAATAGTTTAGGCTGTATATTATAAAATATAATATTTATTACTAGAGTTTTTTTTAAAAAAAATCTAATTAATAATAGCTGGATTATTTAAAATAAAATTATAAAAGTCAAAACCCATTCTTTAAGAATTTTTTATAATTTGTAAATATATTTTAAGTTTTTGATTAATTGTTTTAAGTTTTTATTTCTTGAAATATTATTAATCTATATTTAATAATAGATCAATTTCTAAGATTTTTTTGATAGTTTTAATTTATTTATTTAAAAATATTATGTATAATTTATCAAAGATTTAAAGGAAATGAAAAGAAGAATTCACATTTGAGATATTTAATAAAATTCTATTTATTGTAATTGTTAGTTATAGGAATTTGTATTTCTAATATTAAGAAACTTTCTTGAATCAAATGTAGATCTTGCAAGAAAAAATTTTTTGTTTAAAAAAGTAAAAATATAAGTATTTAAAAAATTATTCAGAACTAAAGCTTTATACATCTGTGCTAATATTATGTATTGAGATTTCTAATAAAAAAATTTATTAAAATTCCAAATCTAGTAATTTAATATTAAGGGGCAAAAAAAATTTAAAAGGAATAAATCAAAATAACATTGTGAAATTTTACTTCTTTTTTTTTTTAATGGAGAAGTAGTGAATGAGATGCTTAAGAAGATTATTATAATTTTCTATCATGAAAAAAGTGTTAAAAAATATGTTTGAAAGAAAGAAAAACTTAAAATAGGAACGAAGAGATTTAGCTACTTCTATTGTAATGTTTTTATTGATAATAGAAATTCTGTATAAGATTTTGATTTTAATTTGTAGAAAAATTTTTATAGGAGTTGAAAAATAATCTAGAAGGTTTGAGAATATTTTTATTTTCTTATAATATAGATCATCAAATACAAAAAAAAAATATTTTAATAAATTAAAACAAGAATCAATAAGTTTATACAAGATGAATAAGAATAATTAATATTTAAAACATCATGTAATTTGATTTTAGGATTGTTCAATATATTAATATAATAATAAGGTCAAAGATGAACATATAAAATATTTATTTTGGGGCTTTTAAAATTTTTAGACATTAAACTAAAGTATTGACATTTTTTTTTGTGTAAATAAATATAAAAGAAACTTTAAATAATGACAAAAAAAAACTTTTAACATAACATAATGATTATCATTTTTCGATAAGGGAACTGTAATGTACTGTACTACGGTATAATTAATTTAATCACATGAAAATTCTTATGTTTCTTTTAACTCTATGAAAGAATATATTTATAATTAATGCTAAGATGTAAAAAGCTTGCCGTTTAGAATAAGGTAAATGAATGTTTAACTTTATATAATTGTAATTTGTCCATTGTGAAATTAGCACTGACTCATTGTGGAACGATAACTGTATTGCGTCCAGAACAGAAACACAGTTTCAATCATTGTGTCCTTAAATGTACTGTACTGTATTCATAATCTATCCAATTTTGGCAAACTTCTAATTACACATACAGTAAATGCATTATTCAATTCTATTTGACGCAAATATAGCATAAATAGTATTATTGGTACAGCATGTCTTGCATACTAACTTAAAGTGCTTACGGCTATAAATTTTCCTACTTAAGTATTTTTTCGATATACTGTATGCACAATCAATCCATTAGAAAATGCGTAAACATGACTCAAAAGATTACGAAGAAAGGGACCCCAGGGAAGATTGTAATAGAATTGAAATTCCTATTGATAATTTAATTTGTAGAGAAATATCTTCGCATGCCTACAAAGAAAATTTTCCACACAATGGAAAGAGAATAACAAAACTCATTTGCTCACCAAATATGAAATATGTTGCAACTGCGAGTGATGAAGATAATTCAATTTTTGGGTGGTCAATCGTACTGGAACATTCCGGACAGTACAGATTTGATTTTGATTATTTAATTGACTTAAAAGAATCGAAATTTGACCATTCAACTGCTCCCGAAGAATTCAAATCTAACCATTCAACCGATTCTGAAGAATCTGACCATCCAACTATTTCCAAAGGTTTAGATAATTCAAGGATAAAATGTATTTTATCGGGGGTCTCTGATTGCAAGCATATTTCACTAATGACAAATGTAGATATCCCTTACAATTTTGGTAAGTTTGTATTATTTATATAGTTGTGATCTATTCAACATATATTACGCCTTTTAATATTGTATGCCCTGTAACTCGTTTAATAGAAATTTTTGACATTACAAGTGGGTCATGGAAAATGTTAAATGTTCAAGGTTTAACGGGAATTATTGACAGAATCTCATTTCTTGAAAATGGTGATATGGCGATTATTAAGGGCAGTCCAGTTTATCGAGCTTATATATTTTCGAAACCAAGTTCTAACAACAAACATGAGTGGAAATGCACGAGTTGCATCGAACTCTCAGAATATAATAAATGTGTGATCTCTCAAAAAGGGAAATTGCTAATTCTTTCAGATATACCTTTTGTAATTATGCAATGGAATCTGAAAACCCTGGAGCTCGAAACACAATATGTATTGGATTTAAACTTTTCAGTAGATGTGGATATAGATCAGATACAGATGGAACTTAACGGGGATAGCACTCTTTTAGCGGTAGCTATTAGAAGACATAAACATCGTAAGGATTTGACAGTCTATGTTTATTCAACAAAATCTAGTACAATGATAGCAAAATGTAAGTATCCACAGAGAAACATCAAGTGCCTGTAAATTACCATATTGTAATTCTAATCATCCTAAATACAAATTTACTTAATAGATTCATTTAAAAATGATTATGATATCGAAAGAGTTAATTTTGTTGGATCAAAGGACAGTGAAAGTTTGCTTATTTATTGTGAATATTGGCGTGTAATGGATCCCTACATCCTTTCCGATATGAAAATTTCAAAAAAGTTATTGAGTCCTGACTCAGACACATTAGTCTCATCGAATCCTGACTCATTTGATAAACTTATTGTTATATCGGACTATATTATAAGGGACAATGATGTTTGTTTGCAAATTCAAAGATGGAATGATATCCTTTTACATGAACATGATGAATCTGGAGATAACCTTGAAAATGAACTTGGAGATGATCTCGGAGGTTATAATAAGATTGATGTATATTCTTGTGGAAAAGAGATCAGAAGGATAGTGCAAAGTACCTTGGAAAAATATAAAATAGTTAAAGATATACCATTGCATGACCTTCCAAAAAAATATTCGGGAAAATTGTACACCTGGACTGTTGAGCACTCTTCGAATTATGTGACATTAAAGGTCTATGAAAACGAGATGGAAATAGGAGAAATAGAAGTTTGGAAACATAAAATTAAAGTGGGAGAAGTAAAAGAATGTCGGATGGAATTTCAACTTCTTAAAAGTGAAGATTTGATGATGGCCTCGTCATTTGGAACATACATTTGGACAGCAAATGCCAATATCGGAATCAATTTACTTTATTTTTGGTTTGATCTTGATGAACACAAATCGGCCATAGATAGTCAAAAGGCTCTGATAACTCAACTTGAAAAGCTCCAAGGAAAATTCAACTCTGAAAACCTGCCACCTTTACCATATTTCGGTCAAATTATTAAACACAAAAGTCATCTTATACACAAACGTAATAAATGTTCTTGTGGTGATTTACTGGAGTTCTATTTTAAGGACGAACGAATTTTAAAGTTATATGGAAAGGAACTGATTCATGAATTAATTTACGGAAAACGCCGTAAACAAATCAAGGATCTCTTTATACGTTTACTTGATCTATGCTTATTGATGCTTAAGAGGGGAGAAATTTTCATATTTACTAAAATTATGAATACAATTAACTCTTCACTCTTAGACTTAGAATTATTCGACAAAGATTTTAGATTCACGGAACGTTTTTTGTCGAAAACTGCATTTTTAATTTCTGACGCCTTCGAAAGTTATTTAGATGATTCATCCACTTCACTTCACCTTGAAAGTTGTGGCACCTACGTACATTTGTTTAATACCTCACTTTTCGATCGCGCAGTTTTCTGGATTTCGGAAAAATGGAAAGCTTTAGACTATTCATCTCTTTTTACCTCACATCCTAAAAAAACCGTTAAGTTGGCGATACCTTTATTAAATTTTGCTACCTATCCAGAAGAATATTCAGCTTACGATGAATTGATTCATTTACCTTATAATCCGTTTACTTCATTTAATACTTCTGAATATTATAAATGGTGGAATATCAAAGCTCTTGTCAAGTTCAAGTGGGATACGTATGGAAAGAATTATTACTTTACAATATGGGCGATTTATTCACTATTTTTGTCTTCATTTGCAACGGTTTCTACAATTCCGCAAAGTAAAATTTCATGGGAGAGCAAAAAAATTCTTTTAGTGGTAACAATTATTCTTGGTTTTTTTCATTTTATTTTCGAAGTTCGTCAGTTTATTCAAAAACCGCAACTCTATGTTAAAAGCCTATGGAATTGGTTTGGTATGTATACATAACATACAAATTAATTAATTATTAATTATTAATTTAATGTGCAGTGCAGTATATAAAAATTTTAACATTTATAGATCTTGCCGCGATATTATTCCCAACGATAGTTTCATTATCATGGTTGCTTTATGAAACACTGCCACCTTTATGGATTATAACTTTATCAGTCCTTTTTCTCGAAATTAAATTTATTCTATTTTTCCGTGCTCTTGATAACTTTGGCACATATTTCGCAATTATGATCGGTGTAGCAAAAAAAGTCTTTTCCTTTCTTGTTATTTTAGGCGTTATCATTTTAGCATTTTCCCATTCTTTGCATCTCTTACTAAGGCCTACCAGTGATTATTCTTACGATCAACCAAGTTATGCCGACGATGAAAACAATCCTTGGAATCTTGTCGCAAGATATCTATCTATTTCTTCCGATGGTATTATCGGAGGACCATCTTTTATTGCAACTCCAGACGAAAATACAAATTTATTCGCAGGATTTGATACTGCTTTATTAGCAGTGTATTTTATGCTAACAGGTATTTTATGCAAAATACTTTAACCAATTAAATAATATGTCATATAACAAATAAAATCAACACATTACAATGCTTATTTTATTGTAACAGGAGACTCGAGCGCGGTCTCTCCATGGATTCTGAAAAAAAATTGGACATTGGTGTTACTATTAGTTATGTTTTCATTTTTTACAACAATTTATTTGCTGAATTTATTTATTGGATTACTTGGCATGGCAATTGATCAAACAAATAATGAAGAATCATTCTTGTGCCTAAGAGGAGAGGTATTGTAGGCTTTTATACGATATTATATTAAAGTTCTATATATACTGTAAGTAAATTACAGTACCTAAATTTTATTATTAGATACTATCAGAGATTGAACTTTTATGGATGTTACCCTACCAAAGAAGAAAGAAAAATTGGTTTCCAGAGATCCTGTAATATCTTTACGTACAATATTCTACTTAATATCGTCTGGCTATCTAATAATTTTAATTTCTTGCAAATTTTCAGGTATTATGAAGTTTCTGTTAATGAACTTAAAAAATATGTTAAGAAAGTAAAAAGCGATTACGATGATTCATCACGACCATATTTGTCTCCAGCCATTTTGAAAATTTCTGAATATGATAAAGACATTGAAGAAAAAATTGATGATTTATATAAAAAGATGGAAGAATCTGATAAGAGATTTGATAAAGTAATTAATTTACTTGAATCAATTACACAGAAAAAGAATGAAGTAGAAGACGAATAAATAAATTTTTGCCCAATAGACGTATATTTTTATGACGCGTAATGCGTTGTCGATCATCGAGTGCCTCATAGATAGCATAGCGAGAAATTAGGAGTATGCTGTGTTGTGTTTTGAGCTTAATATGCATAATATTTCATAGAGATAAGATAATAAAAAATAAAAAAGCCTGATATGTAATTAGTTTCGATTGTTGAATGCACTAAAAGGCGGCTAATGAATAATCAAGGGTTTGAACTAGTTGTCTAGCGAGAAAAATGTTCAAGGAATAACCCAAAAGACAGGACAGCAAGTGTAAAAAATAAACAATATTTATGCACAGAATACAAAATTATATTAATCATATATCATTAAAATTTTTTAATAAAAACAAAAATCAACGAAAACTCCTATTTGGAAATATTAATTATTAATGGTCAATCTTTATAGCGCGATAATAATATTTATTATTCAATTCTACCTTGTTTAAGAAAATTATCTTTAAAGAATTTTTCATAATATACAGTATTACAGTATTAAAATACTGTACATATTTTTTTAACAGTAGATTCAAGATAATATCGAGTATATACTGTACCAAGTTATATTAAAAGGATTCTAAACAATGTAATAAGTAAAGTTGCAAAGCATTAAGAATATCAATAAAATTACAAATATGTATTTTAAAATATTTAATAACTTATCTATGAATTAATAGCACAGTAAGTAGTGCTCCCAGATATTTAAATGCATGTTTCTAGTTCAATACTTACAGGAAACAAAATATATAAAATTTTTTTTTCATATTGTAATAAAAATTAGCAAGTCTGTTATTAGCCAGAAGCAGAATTCATATAATTATCACTTTAGTTTAATAATTAAAATTCAAAAGAGGCGGATTTGACTTGACCAGATCCTCTATCTTTATTAAATATTTTTTTATTCTTTTTATAAATATTTTTTAATATTTAAATAAAAGCTTTTAGAAAGTAAAAGAAAAAAAATTAAAATTAATAGAACAAATAATTATAAATTACAGTATATAATGTCTTCTCGTTGTTTGTCATTAATTAATTATTATTATTATATATTAATATTTGTAATACTCTGATTAATTATTAATTATATAATTATTGTTATATTTTTACTATTATTTTTATTTCCTTTAATGTATAAGTTTATTTTTTTCTTATACATTATATATTATATTCAATATTCAAATTTTATTAGACTACATAAAAATAAAATCTTTGATTTTTCTGATAATCACAAGTCAAAAAACATGTTAAAACAAAAAAGATTATATAAAAAAATCTTTTGATCTAACTTTTATAAAATCTTAAAATTAAAATTAATTTAGCAAACCTTATAATATAATATGTTACTAGAAAAAAAAATTGTCTTTAAAAAAATTACTAATATAAATACTAATATATAATATAATTATAGAAGTTTATTATTATTCAATATATTGTTACACTTGATTTTTGCCTAGAATCTTTACTATCTTTTGTCCAATTTTCACTAGTTGTTACTCTTAAAATATTGATCATTTTAAAATAATCTTTATATTATTACTCTTTTTTAGCACTATGTTTTTGTGCTATTGTTATTCTAGAATATTTTCTATTTTATTTATTTATTTTTACTTTTTTATCTTCACCAAAGCATTTGTTTCTATACTAATATATACAAATAACTTTTCTAATAAATATAATATTTTTTTCATATTTTTATTATTTTATATAATTTATATTTATCATATACTTAAATATATAATTTAAATATATATATAAAGCCTCCAATTTTGTCTAGAAATTAGCAAGATTAAATTTTTATTTTATTGAATAAATAAATTAACCTTCACAAAACAAATTATTATTATTATTTTTGCTTGACCTTATATATATCAAAACTGTATTAATTTTGGTATACCTTAGAAACTTTAATACATTACATTGGCCCTTTCAAATAAAATATCTAATTGCTATTAACTTTTTGTCTTTATTTTTCTCTTGAGATAAAAATAATATATAACAATATAGAAGCTATATTATTTAATATTTTATTGCTAAAACTACTCAATTTTTATAAATATCACTACTTAATTGTCGCTTAATTGTTATTTAATAATTAAATAATAGTAATAAAGCAGTTACAACAGTGTTAACTATTATATTACTACATTTTATTGCTACTAAATTGCCACTAGTTGCTATTGCATTGTTGTTATATTGTTATTATATTGTTACTAAATTATTTTTTTATTACTAAATATAAATAGAAACTATATTACAGTTGCTTTACTATTATTCAAATAATATTTACACTATTATTATATTATTATATTGCTATAGAATTGTTATTGCAATTATAACTGCTTGTTGTTGGAATTTATTAATTATAGGAGTTATGTATTATCAAAGCTGATTACAGTAATATTGTTTAGAATAATATTATAATAAAAATTGAATATAATAACATAAATTTTTAAAACAAAAAATTCTTTTAAATAGTATATTATAGTATTATAACATTGAATACAATAATATAAAATTGTAAAATTAAGCTTCCTTCAATTAGATTACTTTAATTAGCTTTGATTGTATTTTGATTTAAGAAGAATATTTTTAATGAATATTGTACTGAATTATGAGATTTAAAAGTTATAGTAAGAATGGACTGATCCATATTTTAACAATTCTATTTTGTATTGTTTTGTTATTAAATTGAATAAATTTTTTGAGTGAGAATATATCTTATATAAGGTATCTATAAATTGGATATTATTTAGAAATTTGATAAGATTACTAATAAGTTTGCTATTTAATTAATATATTGAGTAGATAGTTTTTTTATTATATTAAGCATTTGAGACAATATTAAAGTCTTCTACTATAATTGTATTCTATTGATTGACAGTTACTTCTTTTATTAGTTTTTTGATATGGTTGAATATATATTGTTTTTCATATACAGTATTAATAATATTGGGAAGTATATAATAATAATTTTGAAAAATCTGTTATAAGAAAAAAAAAAGTCAATTGTAATTACTTATTCTTTCTATTATTGTATTCAAAAATCTACTGTATTAATTTGTTTGTAATAGAAATTTCTATATCAAATATTATATATTGAAATTGTAATTATCAGTGATTCATTTATCATAATCAATAATTATTTATTGACAAATGTTTTCATTCTTTTTTTTTGGGGGGGTTTCCCCAGTAGGTAAACATCATTTCTTTATTTTGATTTGTATATAATAAAGTATACATCGTTGAAAGAAA